ACGAGCCTGAGCTGTGCAAATGCTCCCCTGGTCACCGCTGAAACCTGGGGATCCAGGCTCAACGATGAATCATGTCATCTAACATGTCTGAGAATTTAGTCCAATCTGCCTTTCTGAAATTGAACTTCCTGAGGCCTTATAATTTGAAACAGTTGGCATACTATTGGTCGGTGCTGTGTGTTTGGGAGTTGTGGTCCCACTGATTTGGTGCATTGCTGTACGATGCTGTCGCTCACAAATAAGAGGTCTGGGTTATAACCTCGGTGCCGTCCTCCGCTGTTGTAGGATGGTGGGAGCTTACTATCATGAATGAGTGATAGTTTGTGCAGTTCAGACCAGGAGAGGACAGCCTCTCCATTTCTGTCCTCTTGGGCATATCCCGATACATGGCTATGGCTGTTGTATTTCTCAGGGATTGGCACGACCAATGTGATCATGTCATCTAACATGATCACATTGAAAGTCCCCAATTACTACCGCCCTTTGGTGCCTATCAAAATTCTCGGGGGAGGAGAAGCAGAACTCTTCATTTAGGGGCTTGTACACAGAGGTGATGGTGATGTTATTAAGCTCTACAGTTATAAGCTCTATATTGTTTTCTTCAGTATTGTGGGCGCGTGTGGTCTTTCGGCTACTAGGATCATTCCTGGAACTTTCTGTCGTTTCTGTCGTTCATCCCTGTGTGTTTCTTGGACACACAGCACATCACATTTCTTATCTCGGCACAGTTCATAGAGCAGTTGTTCTTTGGCAGCTGACATGCCTTCGATGTTGATTGAGATTATTGTCATGGTTGGTCCTGAAAAGATCAATGATATTGCAGGTTAAGCAAGGAGGAAGGCAAGAAAGAACAATAAAGAAGGGAAGGAAAAAAAAAGGAAACGAAGAAGGCATGATTAAGCCTTCAAGTGGTCTCCAAAAATGTTTCCTGATTCTGAAAGGCTTCTCTGACCAGTGGCAAAGTTACAATTTTTCACCTTTAGCAGAACTTTAACTGGCAGCTGGGGGAGAAATATCTCTTAATGAGGCATGCTTTTAATAATATTTTGTCAAAGGCTTTCATAGCCAGAATCACTGGGTTGCTGTACATTTTTTGGCTTGTCTGGCCATGTTCCACCAGCATTCTCTCCTGAAGTTTTGCCTGCATCTGTGGCTAATGGCACCTTCAGAGCTTCTGTTCGCAATGAAGCAAGTGGAACAGTGTATATATTCCTGTGGAATAATATCCAGGGCAGGAGAAAGAACCCTAGTTTGTTTGAAGCTGTCAGAGAATTTGGGAGTATATGCGCAGCGGAAGAGGTTGCTAGATCAACAGACCCAGGACACCAAAAATCAGGACTCTGCCATTTTACAGTTACAAAATCACAAAGTTTACTAAGCACATCTATACATGTCAATTCTTAGCGGGCTATCATCAGGAACTACAAAGCACAGCATAAACATTTTCAGAACATGTGCTTATCAGACCTCTGGCTGTAACCGGATACTCCTTCTTCTTCCCACAGCCAGAGAACATGTTCTCTCACTTCTGTCAGGGTTACTTTTCTCTCTGCTTCTCACAGTATTTCTAATTGAACATAATAGAATCCATCTTGAAACACATCTTAATCCATCTTGAATTACATAGAAACACATTGAAAAACACACATGCATAAATCAATAATCCTGACAGAAACAAGGGTGAATGTTGCAATGAGCAAGCTTGAATTAGCATTGGAGTAGCCATGAAGTCTGCAGAGTCAATCAGTGAGGATATCTGCAGAGAGGCGGCCTGACCGCTGTTGCCTGGAGGCATCCTCTGTTTGGGAGGTGTTAACTGGCACTTGATTGCTTGCTATCTGGAGTTCTCCTGTTTCTGAGTGCTGGCCACAGAATCTTATTTGAAAATGCAGGAATGCTGGGCCATTCACACCTGCTTCAAGCAGACAAGGGTTCTTTCTCCCACCCTGGACATTATTCCACAGGGATAGAGACACTCCACTTGCTTCATTTTCCACCAGAACCTCTGAAGACCCTGATGTTTGCATTTCTGGGTGTTTCCATTTTCAACATGACCCATGAAGGGAAAGGGGGAAATCATGGAGGTGAAGAAAGTTTCTCGCCTTCATCCTTGATCTTTTGCTTCTCTCTTAACCAGGAAAATGAGGATTCTGTGGAGCCACCCCTTGGATGCAGCAATGAAATCAATAATATAGGAAGAAGAACTTCTCTCTAGGTGAGGGTCTTGCTGAAATCTTGACCTCGCGTACAGTAAAGGAAAGAAAAAAGAAGACTGAAGCATCTGTATTACAACCAAACACCCATATCATGGCTGACATAAAGGAGAAAGTGTTTATATGCCTGGAATGTGGGAAGAGTTTCACTCGGAGGGATCATCTGAAGCGACATCAAAGGACTCACACGGGGGAGAAACCCTATACATGCCTGGAGTGTGGAAAGAGCTTTGCTACGAGTGGACATCTACATAAACACCAAAGGATTCACACTGGGGAGAAACCCTATACGTGTCTGGAGTGTGGGCAGAGCTTTACTACGAGTGGAAATCTACTTTCACATCAAAGGATTCACACTGGGGAGAAACCCTATACATGCCTGGAGTGTGGAAAGAGCTTCACTATGAGTGGACATCTACGTTCACATCAAAGGATTCACACTGGGGAAAAACCCTATACATGCCTGGAGTGTGGAAAGAGGTTCACTGAGAGTACAGGTCTACGTAGACATCAAAGGATTCACACTGGGGAGAAACCCTATACATGCCTGGAGTGTGGAAAGAGGTTCACTGAGAGTACAGGTCTACGTACACATCAAAGGGTTCACACTGGGGAAAACCCCTATACATGCCTGGAGTGTGGGCAGAGCTTCACTAAAAGTGGAAATCTACATAGACACAAAAGGATTCACACCGGGGACAAACCCTATACATGCCTGGAGTGTGGGAAGAGCTTTGTTCAGAGTTCAGATCTACGTTCACATCAAAGGATTCACACTGGGGAGAAACCCTATACATGCCTGGAGTGTGGAAAGAGCTTTGCTCACAGTACAGTTCTACAATCACATCAAAGGATTCACACTGGGGAGAAACCCTATACATGCCTGGAGTGTGGAAAGATCTTTGCTCAGAGTTCAGGTCTACATTCACATCAACGGACTCATACTGGAGAGAAACCCTATACATGCCTGGAGTGTGGAAAGAGCTTTGCTCACAGTTCAGTTCTACATAAACACCAAAGCATTCACACTGGCGAGAAACCCTATAAATGCCTGGAGTGTGGGCAGAGCTTTACTAGGAGTAGAAGTCTACGTTCCCATCAAAGGATTCACATTGGCGAGAAACCCTATAGATGCCTGGAGTGTGAGAAGAGCTTCACAGAGAGTGGAAGTCTACGTTCACATCAAAGGATTCACACTGGGGAGAAACCCTATAAATGCCTGGAGTGTGGGCAGAGCTTCACTTATAGTTCAGGTCTACGTTCACATCAAAGGATTCACACTGGGGAAAAACCCTATACATGCCTGGAGTGTAGAAAGAGCTTCACTCACAGTGGTAGTCTACGTTTACACCAAAGGATTCACACTGGGGAGAAACCCTATACATGCCTGGAATGTGGGCAGAGCTTCAGTAGGGGTGGAAGTCTACATTTACATCAAAGGATTCACACTGGGGAGAAACCCTATACATGCCAGGAGTGTGGGCAGAGCTTTACTAGGAGTGGAAGTCTACGTTCACATCAAAGGATTCACACTGGAGAGAAACCCTATAAATGCCTGGAGTGTGGAAAGAGCTTCACTCAGAGTTCAAATCTACGTTCACATCAAAGGACTCACTGGGGAGAAACCCTATAAACACATAGTGTGTGGGAAAAGCTTCTCTGAGAGTAGAAATCTACATAGACATGGAATCCACACTGGAGAGAACAGTGGTGTTTGACCCCAAAGAGAGTTTCCCAGATAGAGCTTTCCAGACTTTTCATGTTGGTCAAACACTTTTTAGAAATACATCCTTTTGTGACACAGTAATTTAGTTGAACTAGCAAACTATAAGATAGTCAATATAATACTATATTACATAATACTAGCTGTACCCAGCCATGTGTTGCTGTGGCCCATTTTGGAGCAATGGCAAAGAGAGAAAAGTGGAAGAGCTGGTTTCTAAACTATCAATACACGACTGAAGTGGCAAAGTGTCAATATAAAATAGTCGCATTTTAGTCTCGAGGCCAAAGAGTTATATGGATGTGTGGAAGGGCTCCGAGTTGCCTGAGTCCACACTGCCATATAACCCAGTTCAAAGATATTATATAGGTATTATTGTTGTTGTTATTATAGACATATAGATATTATTATAGGCATATAGATTTTTTATTATTATTGATATATAGATATTATAGATATAGATATAGGCAGATAGGTAATATTATTATAGATGTACAGATATTATAAGTAGAGACATACAGATATTATAGACATGTAGATATTATTGTTATAGACATATAGATATCATAGACACGCACACACATATATGTATTATAGACTTATAGATATCATTATGATATATAGATATTATTGTAGATATATTATAGCCGAGGGTTGCTATAAAATAAAAATTGATGGCCATCTTTTGGGAGGGTTTTGATTGTGCCTTCCTGGACAGCCTTTTCTAACTCACAGAGCGTGCGTTTTTGTCCTTCCTTTGAATACTGGACTTCATTCCCCAGAATTCCTTCCCATAACTCAATATGGATGATCTTTCTGGGCACACACACACACAGAATCCCTCCCGTGTGAGTTCCCAGCAGCCCAGCGGAGGCACCTCCATGCTGCCGACAACCAAGACCCGAGAGGGAAAGGAAAGGAAAGGAAAGGAAAGGAAAGGAAAGGAAAGGAAAGGAAAGGAAAGGAAAGGAAGGGGGTGGATTTGGAGGAGGGTGTCCTCTCTCCCTCCCTTTCCTCCCTCCCTCTCTCTGAATCCTTTGGGAAGAGAGAGGCAGGGGGTAGGAAGAGGGATGTACGGGCCACCTTTCCCTCCCTCTCTCAAGCTGCCTCTCTCTCAGCTGTTGTTTATTTCCCTTGGTGCAGGAGGGAGGGGCGGGGGAGGGTGTCCCTTTAACACATGCTTTGTATACTCATTTAGGTTTGTGCGGGTTTAAGTTCTTTCCGGTTAATTTTTTTGGTTTTTTGAGTGAAGAACATACATTGCTTTAGTTGGTGTCTTGTGTCCAAATTTGATGTCAATTCGTCCAGTGGTTTTTGAGTTCTGATAATCCCACAAATGAACATTTATATTTTTACATATAGTTAATAATATAGAGAGACATTTGACATGAGAGATAGCTTTTCTCCTAGAGCTGTAAGTATACAGAACTCTGTGTTTTGCATTGATGTTGCATTGGGGGCTGTGTGGTGGTGGTTGGGGTGTGGAGGGACGGGTGTGTTGGTTTTGTGATGTGTGCTGAGGAAAGCATTGCATTTGGTTTTGCCATGTACTGTTGGGGTTCACCCCGAGTTTGAACTTGAACCTGATTCTCTGTTTGTTCCTCCTGATGCTAATGAAATATATTTACTGATGCTAATGGAAATGTACCTTTTGATGCCAATGCTCCTGAAATTAGTGAGGAAGAAACTTCTGTAGATTTGGAAAATGCCAATGCTTCTGAAATTAGTGAGGAAGAAACTTCTGTAGATTTGGAAAATGAAAGTACCAGTGTTCATGAGAATGTTTCAGAGGGAAGCCATGACCTTTCACTCCTTTCTGCACCTGGTAATTTTAATGAGAACAGAAGGGGGCAGATCTGGCAAGACAGAAGTAAATCACTCAGCTTGCGAAGGTCTTCCCGATTAAAAGAAATACAAACAACGGCTTCAAAGCAGAGAGGCGGTTCACGGAACCAATTCTTTGGCTTTAAGTGCCTTCCGCTGGGCTGACTTTCTCAGTTCAGGCATCGTTTCAGATTGATGAAGACCTTGGCAGTTCTCCCGGTTTCCCTGGCCATCGTCTTGAAAGATTTCTAGGATATCAAGTACGGTTAGTGGATTGCTAACAGGTTCCAGTATTTTACAGTGTGGCTTTGGGTTTTGTTTTTGTCCATTTAAATTCATGTTTGCTGATTTTGCTGTGGCTTTTGACTTGCATTTTTCCTTTATTTTGTAACCATTTTTCTTCAATAAAAAAGGATTGTTTTTTCACAGTCAAGTGTGGTGGACAGTTATCTTAGGGCCTTGTTTCCTGCTCTGAATTGCAACATGTACAATGACAATAAAGTTACTCTATAATTCCATTCTATATCATCTTTATCCTCTAAACCAGGGGTCCTCAAACTAAGGCCCGGGGGCCGGATACGGCCCTCCAAGGTCATTTACCCGGCCCTTGCTCAGGGTCAACCTAAGTCTGAAATGACTTGAAAAAACAACAATCCTATCTCATCAGCCAAAGGCAGGCCCACACTTCCCACTGAAATACTAATAAATTTATATTTGTTAAAACTGTTCTTCATTTTAATTGTTGTATTGATTTAAAGTGTTTTTTGCACTACAAATAAGGTAAGTGCAGTGTGCAAAGGAATTCATTCATGCTTTTTTCAAATTATAATCCGGCCCTCCAACAGGTTGAAGACTGTGACCTGGCCCTCTGTTTAAAAAGTTTGAGGACCCCTGCTCTAAACAAATTATTCAGCATTGCCGAAGGGTTTCATGGCCAGAATCACTGTGAAGCACTGTGAGGTTTTATGGCTGTATGGTCATGTTCCAGTAGCATTCTCTCCTGACGTTTTGCCTCTCCTGACATTTCTTCAGAGGTCTGTTGGAAGTGAGACAAATGGGGTGTGTATATATATCCCTGTGGAATAATGTCCAGGGCGGGGGAAAGAACTCTTGCCTGTTGGAAGCAAGTGTGAATGTTGCAATTGACAAGCTTGATGTAAATTAAGTGGCCATGAAGCTGCCAAATCAGTCAGGGCATTTTCATAGAGGTGGACTGGCTATTGCTGGCTGGGGCATACTCTCGTTGGGAGGTGTTAACTGGCCCTTGATAACTTGTTTTCTGGATTGCTCCAAAACACATGGAGGGCCCAAGTCTTCCCATGCCTTCGCTATACTAACCACCACCAACTGCTAGGCATGCCACTCATTCATTCATTCAGAGATGCATCACCCTGAGCTGAGGCTGTTTCTGTATCTGATTTTAGGAGAGCTGCCATTATTTCTTCCTATGTGTTGGGGTTCAGCCTGCATGTGAACCTGAACCGGATTCTCTGATTGCTGAACCTGATCCTCTGATTGTATGTCCTGATGTTACTGACCATGTATTTTTCCCTGATGGTAATGAAAGTGTTGATACTGAGATCAGTGGCTTGGAAAATGAAACTACACATTCTGATGAGAATGTTGCAGAGCCAGGCGGTGATAGCTCTCCAGAGGAGTTAGCACCTGGCTTCCTTAATGAGGATAGAAAAAGACAGATTTGGAAAAACAGGAGTGAATCGCAGAGTCTGCGAAGGTGAAGCAGATTAAGGCAAAGGGAAACACAGGCTTCAAAGCCTGGAGGCGTGTCACGAAACAGTTTCTTCAGTTTTAAGTGCCTCTCGCCAGGTTGTCTCGTTAGATCAGGCATTGTTTAGACTGAGGCATTACCTTGGCAGATTTCCCATTTCTCGTGGCCTACATCCCAAGAGGCTTCTAGTACTCCAAGGACGGTTAGTGGGTTGCTAACAGTTTCCAGGTTTTTACAGTGTGGCTTTTGGAATTTTGATCAAGTTCATGGATATTCTTGACTGCTGAATTTTACTGTGGCTTTTTGACTTTGCATTTTCTTCTATTTTGTAACCATTTTTCATCAATAAAAAGGGATTGTTTTTCCCACAGTCTAGTGTGGTGGATTGTTACCTAATGGTCTCGTTCCCTGCTCTGGATTGCAACACTATGTTTATGTTTATGTTCCATTATGTCTTTGACAAATCCATATCAGTCTGTTTGTATTAATTAAAGGTAAATGTAAAGGCTTTCCTCTTTTCCAGTCGTGTCCACCTCTGGGACTCTGGTGCTCATCTCCATTTCTAAGCTGAAGAGCTGGCGTTGTCCATAGACACCTCCAAGGTCATGTGGCCACTGGCATGATTGCATGGAGCACCGTTACCTTCCCGCTGAAGCGGGATGTACCTGTTAGGCTAGGAAAATAGGCCCAGAAAGTTCAGCAGCCATTTTGGAAAGGGTGCCGAGGGGAATCTATTTTAGTTACTCATTTCCTTAAGGGGGCGTGTTTAGAAAGAGCAGCTTTGGAGGGAAATGAGGGAAGACTGTAATTGGCTGAGTTAGAGTGGGCGGAGCCTAACTTGACAAAAGTTAAAAAATTGACTTTAAGGGAAGGTTTTCAAAACCTTGTCAGGAAATTGAAGCTGGGTGTCAAAGGGAGAAGGTGTTAGGAGTTAGGAGTGGTGTAGAGGGTTAGTGAGAAAGGCCTGAGATTGGTCAGTTGGCTAGCAGAGATAACTAGTGAGGAGATTACAGCTATTTGGGAAGGAGAGCTGGGGAGTGGGGAGACAGATCCCAAAAGACAAGGACGGTCTGTGTGGAGGAGTTTAGACATTCCTGTCAGTATTTCTGTGGAGGGAGAGAGAAGTGTTTCCTGTGTAACTAAGTCTGAACTGCTTAACATAACCACACGCTTTTAAGTCAGTATTTTGAAACCAACTAAGCTTAATACCTAATTTGTTCAAGTTCTCTCAAATAAACCTCATTGTTTTGTTGTTCACAACAACTGCCTCACGTATGCCTCTGTGGGTGAAGTTTTAAGAGCAGTTTCCTGCAGCATTCACTTAGGGCCTATACCACGGCTATACGGGTAGCCAGGGAGACCTTCCTGATTGCCCGCATAGCGTCTGCATCTAATAGATCTTCAGAGTTGTTTCGGGTTGTTGGGGAGCTCCTTCACCCCCCTGGAGTGGGGGAGGCCTTTGACGACCCGACAACTCGCGAGTTGGCGCACTACTTTGCAGACAAAGTCACTCAGATACGCCTCGAGTTGGACACCAGCTTAAATACAGTGCCAGGGGAGGTGACCGAGGCATCTGCTTGTCCGGTTTTGTGGGATTCCTTTCAGCTTGTTCATCCTGAGGACGTGGAGGGGATCCTTGGGGCTGTGAGGGTGACCACGTCGGCTCTAGACCCTTTCCCTTCTTGGCTAATTAAATCGGCCAGAGGTGGATTGATTGACTGGTTTGTGTTGATCATAAATGCATCGTTGGAGCAAGGGAATTTTCCATCTGGGTTGAAACAGGCTGTGGTTAGACCACTCCTGAAAAAAGCCTCCCTTGACTCCACGGTCTTGAGTAACTACACACCAATCTCCAACCTCCCGTTTTTGGGCAAGGTGCTGGAGCGGGTGGTCTCCTCTCAGCTCCAGGGTTTCCTTGATGATATCAACTACCTGGACCAGTCACAGTCTGGTTTCAGGCCTGGTCACGGTACTGAGACGCCTTGGTGGATGACCTCCGCAGGGAACTGGACAGAGGGAGTGTGACCCTTCTGGTTCTCTTGGATATCTCAGCGGCTTTCCATACCATAGACCATGGTATCCTTCTGGGACGATTCTCTGGGATGGGCCTTGGAGGCACGGCTCTGTTATGGCTTCGGTCCTTCTTGGAAGGTCATTCCCAGATGGTGAAGCTGGGAGACACCTGCTCGGACCCCTGGCCTTTGACCTGTGGGGTCCCACAAGGTTCCATTCTATCCCCCATGCTTTTCAACATCTACATGAAACCGCTGGGAGAGGTCATCCAGAGTTTTGGAGTTGGGTGCCATCTCTATGCAGATGAGGTGCAACTCTACTACTCTTTTCCACCTAACTCCAAGGAAGCCCCTCGGGTGCTGGAGTGCCTGGCCGCTGTGGCTGTCTGGATGAGGAGGAACAAGCTAAACATCAATCTCGACAAGACAGAGGTCCTCCTGGTCGATCATAAGCCGGATCGGGATATAGGGTGGCGACCTGTGCTGGACGGGGTTGCACGCCCCCTGAAGTCACAGGTCCGCAGTCTGGGTGTCCTCCTGGACTCATCACTTATGCTTGAGGCTCAGGCGTTGGCGGTGGCCGGGAGGGCCTTTGTACAATTAAGACTCGTGTACCAGCTGCGACCATACCTCATGAAGTCAGATCTGGCCAGGGTGGTCCATGCCTTAGTCACCTCCAGATTGGATTACTGTAATGCACTCTACGTGGGGCTGCCCTTGAAAATGGCCCGGAAATTTCAATTGGTACAACGGGCGGCA